TGTTTCACTATCTTAACAATAAAATGAAAACATGATATGAGGAACTGCCTGTTTTCATTTTGATATAGTATAGTATAATATTTGATATTAACAGACACCAAAAACGTTGAGGCGTCGTGTAGCTACATATTTATATGAGCTTCATCTTCACTGTATGCATATTTATAACAAAACAGAGCTTATAACATAACTGCTGCCTTTCATTTTCATTGAAAATAAAAAACATACCCTCTCTTTTGCTGAATATCAGTTTTAATAATCACTAATGGCCTTTATTAAAGTATAACATACAATTAATGAATACTTTATAGGAAATAAATGCAAGCGCTCAGTCAAATATGCAGAATCAGAGTACATGGTTACATAAATCAATATATTAACTTATCTTTGCGCTCAGCTCACGTTACCTGAGAACAAGTAATAGATTCAAAAGACCAAAGTCGGGGAATATGTCATTAGATATAGACAAGAAGATGAATTAAATATCATGTTTAACAAATATAGTGAGATTAGATCAAGCGGTAGATCCTTAAAGAACAGTGCAACGTGCACAGTTCTTAACTGGGCCTAAAAGAAATATCTTTCATTTAATGGGCCCAAAATAAAGATGCAGAATTAAAATGAAGGATAACAAGCAAAAGGGAAAGGAGTAAAAGCAGGGATGCATTCAAAAGAGAAAGAGCCAAAAGGCAAGAAAAAAAAACAGCAAGTAAGGAGCAAAACTAATTAAGAAATATGGCAAGAAAGATGGAAGCTATCAAAAAAATGATTCCAAAAGAAAACAATCAAGTAGCGAAGGGTCAAATAAGCAAAAATAAACAAAACAAGCGAGAAAGAAAGTGGCAAAAAGGAAAGGCAAAAAAATACTAACAAGAAAGAGTCAAAAAAGATTATCAAGAAATGCAAACATACAAGAAAACAAGAAAGAAAGAGGCAAAAAGACGAGCAAGCAAACAGGAAATAGCCAAAAAAGCAAGACTTACAAAAGAAAGCAACATAAAAAAAAGAAAGCAAAAAAAAGAAAAGACCAGAGTAACAGGATAGGAAGAAGATCCATCCAAAACCAGTACTTATGGCTCTTAAGGACACACACCCAAGTCAATTACTACCCAGCCAGTCACTCACCACACATTATATACACACAACTCCAACTTGGTCACACATAGCTCTCAGCTTTAGCTTGTTCTAGTGCAAGAAAAGTTTTGTTTACAGTAATGCACAAGGCTTCCTCTCAAAAAAAAAAAAAAAAAAGTTAAGACTATTCTGCTTCAACGTTTTTCCTACAGATCAACAATATGGAAGCCAGTGGCCATTTGAAGCATTCCAGAAACTATAGCTATCCAACTCTGGTATACTGCGAGTGACAGGGTGTGGGCATGAATTCCTAGTGCAATCTAGTATAGGTCAGGCAGCACGTCTTTGTGTGGTCAGCAAAGGTATGCGCTCTTTTATTCGTTATGACTGAGAAAGGGTGTGTTTTATTAGTGAAACACAGTGTAAACGTCAATACTGATTAAACCGCAAAGCAGCGTGCATGTCAAATTTCTACATTTTAAAGAAGTCTCACCACCAAAGGACAACTTACCATCCTTTTTCTTTTTTTTCTTTCTTTTTTTGGAAAACGAAAGGTTTGACCCCACCTACGCATTTACCCATAGTTCCCTGATCTGGCTATTCGACAATGATTGCCTTTAATCAACAGTACATCCATCAACATGAGTCAGCTCTGGCCTGGAGCTCTCCACAGGGAATTCCTCAGGCCGGCAGTAGTTTGGAAGGTTCCTTAATAAAGCTAGCAGGAATGCATCATTGGAGTGAAAGAGGCGCTGGTGGGGGGGTCTGAAGAGGGGGGCCTGTCTCTGAACACAGCGCTACATTGTTCTGCTACCTTTGCATTCCATTCTCCACCTTTACACTACAGTCTCCTCCCTCTCCAAAGTCTGACACTTTATCTTTTCCCCTTCTAAACCATGCACACACACCTGTTCCCACAATCCCAAGTCCATAAAACAAGGAATGTGTGTGAACCAAAAATATGCATGTGCTTGAGCTTGAGAATGGTGATGTGTAACCGCTACAATTAAAAAAGTCATAATCCAGTTGCCCTATTTGAGACTGTGCTATCATTCTCTTGCTTGTTTTTTTTTCTCCACCTGTCACTGCATGTGGCTGAATTGTGGAAATATGTTAAAGTGTTGAAGTTAGAGGACGTTTAAAACTGAATTATTCTTAGCAAGTCCTAGCATGCTGGTGCTCTCATTTCTGCAGTCACAAAGAATTTATTTGGACTGTCACTTGGTGGATCTCGCTCGCTCTGGGGTGGCAGAGACAAAAACACAAGAGGGTGAATATAAAAAAAAAACAGTTGGTGACAGTGACATGTGGATAATAAAAAGAGAAATTGTCACATCCTCAAAGCCAGATTTACCTGGCTTTGAAACGTTCTGCCTAAAGCACAATAGGTTTGCATCAGTCGTTGGCGTCTGAACTTGTGTTTCAAAGAATGCTGGGGTCATGGGAGTCAAATGCACAGTGAATAAAGCAAACAGGTTTTGAAGCACTTGAAAGTTTAAGATTAACAGAATGAGCAAAACGGCAGGTGGTGAGCAACTTCAAATATGCTAAATAAACTGCATGACAAGTGAAGAATGCAGAAGGACTAGTTAAAAAAATTGTCAATAAAAAATAGTAAAGCATTAATGTATGGTGTGGATGCAGATAGGTAACTCAATATGTGAACTATAGAGAAAGAAAAATTAAGCAGTGTTGGGGTAACTCATTACAAGCAACGCAAGATACATAATAATATTACTTTTATAAGTAACAAGTAAAGTAAAGGCTGATTTATACTTCTGTATCAAACGCCGGTATATGCTACGGCCCTTCGCCGTGGCCGCTGGCGTTGCTGACGTGCACCTCTCAAAAAATGTAACTACACGTCGCAAAGACGCGTAGCGCAAGCTCTGTGATTGGTCGGCTTGGTAGCGCTGATGAGTCTGGGCGGGACAGAGAGCCGCGCGAATGGTGCAAGCTTGATGCAGCGTTTGTTTACAAGTGTGGAGTCTCGTGAAGGAGCTCTGGATGGAAAGTTTTGTTTTGTGTTAACCTCATAGTTAAAGTTGTTGCTCGTCTGCCAGTTCTTGCCTCAAAATGAGTGAGTTTGAGCCACTTGTACATTCAGGAAGTGTTCAGGAAAAGCAAAACATCAGCAAAGAAACTCGACACAGATGAGCATTTACACCTCAATGCCAACTAGCGTTTTGGAAGTGAAATGCAGACCAACAGAGACAGCGCGCAGAAGTATAAATGCACAGCTACGTGCGTTGCATGCGCCGTGGGTTACGCCGGTCACTTGACGCAGAAGTATAAACCCGGCATAACGCATTGCTTTAAAAAAAGAAGTAATTATATTTGAGTTACTTTTTAGAAAATGTAATGAGAGTTACTTTTTAGTTTAATTAATTAGCAATTAGTAATTAATTAATTAATTAATTTTTTGTTCAATTAAATAGCTTTTAAAAAATAAATTGCTTAATTCAAACTAAAGTAGTCACAATGAATCACGCAGTCAATGAGAGAATGTGTTCATTATTTTGCAAGCATTTAGGAAAAATAAAAGGGGATTGTCTCAATGCACAGTGATTTTACTTCAGACAAATAATGCAAAAGTAGCAAACACATTGCTTTAAACTTTCAATAATCTGTATTAGGGCTGTGCGATTAATTAACATCGAATCACAATCGCAACTTAAAACGTTGCGATTAGCTAAGCGCAAGAGGCTGTGATATGAAATATATATGTATTATTTAATTTTCCCCGCCCAGATTAAATGTGTGACTGCCGTCTGTGTGTGATAGTCTTGCTAGTCAATTGGGTGAGCACACTTTGTTCTGCCCAACCAGATTTGCTTAACCGAACTATGCGGAACGGCCACAATAAAACAAAAAAAAGGAAAGCTCCGACAATTGGAATAATGGCGTCTGCTACTTCAGAAGCATTAATAGACAAATTAATATCAAAGAAACATATGGCATCGGTAATACGGGAATATTTTGGTTACTGTAAGTCACAGACACCAAACAAATACAGGTAATTTTTAAGAGCTGTTGCAGAATTGTTGCCACTGCTTACAGATTATTGAGCTGAAGCTTTACAACAAAGTTAAATCGCAATCACAATATCTGTCCAAAAAAAAAAAAAAAATCACAATAAGATATTTTCCCCAAATCACACAACCCTAATCTGTAAATACAGCATGTATAGCTCTGGTATCAGAAAGTTCTCAGTTAACATTATGAAAAATATTTTTTGATGTGTTTTTTTTAAGGTAAATGAAGGTTTTTGGCTATACAGTGCATTGCTAATTGCAGAATTCCTCTATTAATTTTTTTTTAAAAAAAGCTCTGAAAGAGATCAAGCGTTAACCAGGTATAATAAATAGTAACGCAAAAGTAACTCAAAAGTTACGCAACACATTATTTACCTAAAAAAGTAACTAAGTAACACAACTAGTTGCTTTTTTGGGGAGTAACTCAATGTTGTAATGCATTATTTTCAACAGTAACTTTCCCAAATACTGAAATTAAGTATGGTACTAAAGTATAATTACAGTGAATAAAAACAACAATGGGGAGATATACACACACACACACACACACACACACACACACACACACATATATATATATATATATATATATATATATATATATATATATATATATATATATATATATATATATATATATATACACACATTTCTTTTATAGACAGAAAACAAATCACAAGCATGCATGGTAAAGATAGATAAAATCCACAATAGTATAAATCATTTCTGTAACATAATAGAAAAATTCACCTAATTATATAATTCGAAATGCTAATCACAATCCATGTGAAATTCTAGTCAATACTCCTGACCCAGACCCGAAATCTTAAGTGACAACAGCTGTTGCTGGCCTTGATCTGTGAAAAGCAAACAAAGAAATGTATGTCTCACCTTGGCAAGTATCTTCAAGGGCTTCGAACCCGGATTCGCACTGGCATTGGCTCATAGGTACGACCCATTCCCCATCCGTGGTGCAATAAATGCGAGGTTGGCCCTCACTGATAGCATTTTTGACACAACTTCCAGCCACCTCCCGCAATGCTTGATTCTCGCCCCCTGCCACTGTCTCAGGGAATGCTGCCAAGCTCTGCACTGTTGCAGGACATGTTTTATAGTAAACCCTGACAGAGTAGATGGCTACGCAGGCTCCAATGTCCTGGAAGCCCAGGTAGAAGCCCTTACGTGAAAGATTATCCACCACTTTAGTCTCAGTGTTCATCTTCATCTTTCCACGGTCGGATATTTCATCTGGAGCAATGGTGGCCACCTTTCGGAACAGGCCTTTGCGGAAAGCAGTGCCAATGTCCGCATCAGCCTCGGAGGTGTACAAGTTAAAGGTCTCCTTGCAGTTAAGCGGGACTGCTTCGAAAGTGTTGCAGTCGCGGACATTGAATTGCAGCTCCACAAAGACCCGAGATGCAGCAGGGTTGCGCTGGATAAATGTAGTACGGAGCCAGTTGTCTTGTTCTCCTTTCTCCACGTTACATACATAATAGTTATACAACAGAGAGCCATTCACAGCCTGCTGGCCTATCTCCCACTGCAATGTGAAATAAAAAAATGGATGTTAGCAATAAAGTCAAAACCAAGATTGTGGAAAAAAAAAAGAAATCAAAGAAAAGATGCCAACGAATGCTGAGGACGAAAATGTCCTGACCGTGGAATTTTAAGTAGTAGTGAGGATGCTGGTCAATTACCCACCAACTTCTGGCAAGAAACAATACAGCAGTCTTTCTACACCATGACTGATGTAATATGCTGTAACATATCTGTTCACATGCAGTGTGCATGTGTGTTTTAGCTCTGATTTCATGTGCCACTGTGATATTAATTACAGGAGAGGTGCATTGTTTTCATATTGTGTGGCATGGCAGTAAAATGAATGCTTCCATATAAAAGGAACTTTGTGGTTTAAAGCATTTCATACATTCGAAAGATGTTGAACTCTTTAAATAAACAGCAGCTCATTAAGAGTGCAATTAACTTTCTATAAAGTTGAACATGCTGACACCTTGTTCAAATTCTTAATTTCTCAGCTTTTTCCATGACAGTGGAAGGGAAAATGCATTAAATTTAACGACCTTGTGTGCATTTGTTTTTTTTCCACAGTTTTCAAATTCTGTTATAAACTGGTCATGCACAGGAAGAAGACATAACAAGTCTGTACATGCCATCTCAGATCATTCCAGTAACACTTTTAGAACAGCGTTTTGAAATACACTAGTTAATTTAGGTTTGTCAACCAGATATCAGTTTCAAAACCCAGACTATCCTAAAATGGTATATGCAATACAAATTTAATTTAAACTAGGACCAGCTATAACCTAAACCAGCTATGTTCTACTAAAGCAAATCCTTTTGATTTCAAAACCCATTACTTTTCTAAATTCTAGTTAACATTATAGCTTCAACTCACGTCACACAAAGCACCATATGCGCCAAACTTTAAAAGTTAATTACACCCTCAGTTTTACAGACACTAAAACAGGGCTTTAAATTCGCACGAGACTACAAGTGTTCAGCAGTCAAGAAACTACCAGCAATCCTTTAATCGTCCCCAGGAATGTTTTGAGTCAAATACAAGAGCTAAAAGTCTTTTCATTTGCAAATGAAGTGAAACAATCGAAAAGAAATGCATGCAACAGTACTCGTACATAAGAAGTGAACTCACCCCATCCTTAACAGGCGATGTCAACCAACCCAACTCAGCTCCCGATGCCACCATATCCAATAACACCTCTGTGACAATAACGCAAAATTTGCATTTATGACATGTTTCTTAAAAATAGAGAGCAATTTATAAAGCTATATTAACTAGATTACACACAAAATACACATGGTTCATACAAAACAATAAATTAGTAAATGTAAGCTATGTTACTACTGATAATAAAACATTCCGTCAGTCATAATAAAAAAGCAAACGTCCCGTGTTGCAAAGTCGCCAGGTTAATTATTTGTAGTAGCTAGGGAAATTGCGCACTTCGCTTACTAGAAATTAGCTTTTTTACTTGATTTAAATTCTAAAGGTCTTGTTTTAATTAATTGAGAGAATTTAGCCAATTTTAATTTGTATAATGTGTTTAGTAAACATTTTTGACAATTTCAACATTTATAAAAAGTAGGCTGGTACAAATTAAAATCCCCAATTAATCGCACCGGTTAGACTACGTTCAAACTCGTTAACATTTAAAACACTTAACATTTGTACTCACAAAAATGTATTTAATAACAACATGAGAATTAGACATCGTTTGCGCATTTGTGTTTTCTTTAAATAGCCTAGTCTAAACCATGTGAGTCAACCTGAGTGAGAAAGTTTTAGAAAGTCTCTCAGAGTATAAACCGTACCACCTACCTTCCTTTTTCTGAAGAGAAATAAATACAAAGTTCATAAATACATTGACAAATAATACACGCTTAATCCGTCTGTAATCCATGTTGTGCTCGGAGTGGACAGTGATGTTTGCTGCTCCACGCTCAATCCAGTTGCTGTTCAATCCAGTTGCGCTCTCGACAGCCTCATTGAGAAGCGCGGCGCGTCATCAACCCCGCCCCTCGGAATGTGATCGATGTCTTTATAGGAAGGAGGGGTGGCTGCCTGGCTGTGGGCATTCACATGTATGAGGTTTGTCCCAGGACCCCGCCTCTGACCTTCCTTTCAGCCTGGGACTTACCTGTGAAATTTAGTGGAACAAAAGTGTAAATTTTTTTAAGCGTCAAATAACCAAATAACCACTTGAACAAGGATTTTGCAGTGTTGTATGTATCTTCGTTATCTCAGTTTTATCAATTTAAATATTTTGAGTAAGTATTTAATATTAAATTTAATAAATAACTAAATAATAATAATAATAATAATAATAATAGAAATAATAATAATAAACAAATTCCAAAATATGTAAATGTATGTTTTATTTAATTTTTTACAATTATTTTATTTATGAATTTTATGGCAAATTACAGAAAAAAGACAAAAACAAGTTTAGATAGTATCAATTCAAGCGAATACAATGAAATAAAATAGGGGGAAAAAACTTTCTAACAAATAAAAAGATAAATCATAATGTGGCTTAACAAAAGCTACAATTGTACAACAAATAAATAAATGAATGAATGAATGAATGAATAATTGAATGAATGAATAAAACATGTTCTTGGATAGATTTCCTAAATGGGTCCCAAATTTTCTTAAACTGGTTAGATGAACCTCTAAACCAGAGATGCCCAAAGAAGGTGCATGGGCCAGGGTTAGCCCATTTTAACCTTTAATTTGACCTACCATCCCATTTGAGAGGATAGTGAGTATGATGGAGCAGATTGAGGTGAATGCCTTTAACACAGAGATCATCATTTCTAATTTGACATAACCTTTTTTCTTTGTTTTATTGCTGAGCTACAAAAAAGCAAACTGAATTTAAATGTTTCCATTAAATGTAAATGAATCAGATATTTTTTAATGTAATAATTTTCACTCGATAGATAGAGGATGCAGAGTACATCAGAAAGGAAATCAAGGCAAAAAGCTAGTGTAATTCGGGTATAAATAAGATTTTTATGTTTTTACTGTAATACGTTTATTATAAAATCTAATAAAAATACTGTATTAGTTAATAAAAAGCAATGTTTTGTAGTTATTTTTAAATAAAAATGAAATATTATATTAAATAAATATTAAATAAATTAAAAAATTGCCCATGGTAAATTACCCCACCTATATTAACCTTCAAGCCACTAGCCTCAATCAAGTTTGGTTTTTGGCCCTTCATAAGAAAAATTTTGGGCACCCCTGCTCTAGACAGTCTAATTTTTTTCCAACTTAAGGAAAAAGGGGACATCACAGATTCACTGTGTTGGGGAAAAATGTGTAAATTTAATTTTATAAAACAAGTTATTCTAGAACTTAAAGCTGATTGTTGAAAAGCTGTATTTTATTTGGAATAAAGCAATGACTGGAATGACTGGGAATAGTGGTTGAAACATAAAGAACATAAAAAGTAAACTGTAGCCTAATTGTTACAGAAATGGCAACCTAATTTATTTGGCGCTGTTGTTATGCATGTTGAATTTCTTACATCATTATAATTTTAGGTGGTTTATTCTGCTGTGGCGACGCCGACGTCTGATAAATAAAGGAACTAAGCTAAAGAAAATGAATGAGTATTATTATTTTATTTTTCTTTGCATTATTCTATGTCTTGAGATGTGTGTATATAAATATGTCATGAATGTACAATGTATTATTATGTGTACAGTATACAGCAAACATTTGATATGCCTATGTACAATATCTTATTGATTGTTGTTAATATTGTTTATTTATCTGAATTGTTAGAATTGTACATTACTATTAAACAAAGTTAAAATACTAATTTATAATAAAAATGCTAAGGCCACTTTATTAACAATCAATACAGTGAAAACACTCCCACGTATTCATGTATTTAGGAAAAAACTGTTGCTATTTAATTGAATATGATTGCCAGTACAGTGTCATCAACCTTTAATTTTGAGACTACACCCTTTTCCCGGAGAGATAATCAGATGTGTGTGTGTGTGTGTGTGTGTGTGTGTGTGTGTGTGTGTGTGTGTGTGTGTGTGTGTGTGTGTGCGTGTGAGAAAATATCATATAACGTGTTTAAAAACTAAATGACACAGTACATGAGAAACTCTGTGTTTTATTTGAATATCATCAGATGAAGCAGGGCTCACACTACATCAGCTTTTGTTCAGGACCTGTGTTTTTGTGAGGTTCTTCCCAGATTATCTGGTAATGTGAGGCTTTTGTAAATTGAATCTTAAACCTCACCGCAATCATCATGAAAACACATTAGGATCATATTTAAAATGTAATTAAGTCAGGAAGGTCAGTACGTGTCAATTGGATAGGGGAGATAAAGAAACCACATAGACATTTATGTCAAACTCTAGACATGTTGATGTGTTCACACACACACACACACACACACACACACACACACACACACACACGAAAATCAAATTTCTGAAAAAATAGGATATAACCGTTCAGAGATGAGGATGTATATTATTTATACTGTACATTACAGGTTTTAGGCACGGTGGCGCAGTGGGTAGCACAGTCACCTCACAGCAAGAAGGTTGCTGGCTCGAGTCCCGGCTGGGTCAGCTGGCATTTCTGTGTGGAGTTTGCATGTTCTCCCCATGCCGCATGGGTTTCCTCCGGGTGCTTCGGTTTCCCCCAAGACATGTGGTACAGGTGTACGAGTGAGTTTGAGTGTGAATGGGTGTTTTCCAGTGTTGGGTTGCAGCTGGTTGGGCATCCGCTACATAAAACATATGCTGGATAAGTTGGTGATTTATTCCGCTGTGGTGACCTCTGATTAATAAAGGGACTAAGCCGAAAGAAAATAAATGAATGAATGAATTACAGGTTTTTAACAACAATTAGGTTTGAATGTGTTTGCTAATATCAGCTTGTTGAATTTGTTGATTGAGTTGTTTATTAACTTAAATGTAAACACTTCACAGCTAATAGAAACACCCACTATTGATACATCCAGGAATATTTATCTATAATAGAAACTGCTAACTGATAATTGACAACAATACAACTGCCTATTTAAAGTGATAGTTTACCAAAAATGAAAATTTTGCCATCATTTACTCTTTCTCCACTTGTTCCAAACCTGTTTGAGCTTTTCTTGTGTTGAACACAAAGGAAGATATACTGAAGAATGTTGGAACAAAACACGATTGACTTCTATTGTAATATTTTGCTGCAACAATGGATGTAAATGGCTGCTTTTTTCCTTCATAACATTCTTCAGAATATCTACAGTAAAAATAAAGACATAAAAGGTTAGAAACATTTAAGCGCGAGTGGGGAAACAGCCATTTTTAACCGCAAAGTATCAAAACAAGTACCACATTCATTCGCAATAAGCTAATGGTGTTTACTGTTTTCTTGAAGAACTAAAGAATATAACGACTTTTTCCCATTTAAATTCTTCTATTGTGCACTCAAAACTTATGTTTTATTCAAACTACTCTTTCAAAATGAGCTGAAACAATACAATTCTTCATTTTTAGGACAACTTAATGGTTTTATGTTCAATCCACTTAAATTTTTAAAAACTAATCAGTTTAAGTTTAAGTGAAGTTTAAAGTCTTTCATGTTGTCCCAATACAAATAGATTGCGTGGAACCCAGCATCTTTTACAGATTTAGGATTTTTATATAGTATATACATTTAAATATATTCACAATATAAAATAGCTTTTTATACATTATTGCTCAAACATTAAAATATATATATATATATATATATATATATATATATATATATATATATATATATATATATATATATATATATATATATATATATATATATATATATATATATAAAGTTTCATTTAGATTATTTAATTTTTTATTATGGTATTTATTGTATGTGTGCTGTTAATAAAACGTTGACTATTAAGATGCTGTCTGGCAAAGAAATGTATCAACTGTAATCAGAACTTGAATACAGGACTTAAATCTTGACAAAAGAGTCCCATAGCAACTCTCAGGAATTTTGGAGTCAAGCTCCTTGTGTTTGAAACCCTACTTAACTGCTCCACTGACAGCCACACGGTGCAGTCACCAACAAAAAGTGCACCCGTGAAAGGGTTTACTTGACAGAGAGAATTTTACGACAGTCTCCCCACTGTACCTGCATTTAGATAAAAACAGAAGATATTTTTAGTGTATAACTGATACATAAATTTTAAACTTGCTCAAACTCTTCAACAAAGGTTTGATTTCAAAACACTCTTGAATTTTGTTTGCTGAGCTGCTCTGCTTTTCTCAAAATATCCACACCTCTGACGACAGTGTATCCACAAGGTCTGTCACACCAGCGGCTGCTCCCAACATTTCAGAGATTTTTTTGGTTAACAATGCCATCTCTTTAACTTCCCCACACCGCTATTCTCACCTCACTCCCCTTTTTTCCACACATGCATATCAACCTGGGTGACTAATCTGAGAAAGAAAAAGCACTAAGAACGTCCCTAAAATTTTTTAATGATATACAGTTGAAGTCAGAATTTTTAGCCTCCATTTGATTTTTTTTTCTTTTTAAAATATTTTTCAAACAAAGTTTAACAAAGCAAGAAAATTTTCACAGTATGTCTGATAATATTTTTTTTTCTGGTAGAAGTTTTATTTGTTTTGTTTTGGGTAGAATAGAAACAGTTTTTAGTTAAAAAAAAACATTTTAAAGTCAAAATTATTAGCCTCTTTGCGCTATATACTTATTTATATATATATATATATATATATATATATATATATATATATATATATATATATATATATATATATATATATATACATACATAAACTAGCCTTGCTTTTCCCAAATTGTACTTAAAAAGGAGTGTCTTTATGAATAATGATATTTTAATTTTCTAGCATTTGTGACCCTGGACAATAAAACTAATGTTAAATGTTCAATTTTGGAAATTTAGATTAGTATATCTGTTAGCTGAATAAA